TATATATATATATATATATATATATGATTTGTATTATTCTATATATAAGGAGGTATACATAAATGACTAAGGAATTACGGGGCTTACTGGAATTAAGTGTGTGTACTTGGTGACAATTTGTTCTTGAGGAATTAACATAACATACAAAAAACAATACAATCCCACTGTGATTGTTCACACTTATTGAGTTACTCCTGTTTGCTTTCCTATACCTTATACCCCTCCCTTTGCAATTCATGGGTGTGAAATTAGGGGGGGGGTATTTATATTGTAAAGAGGCAAGGACATTTGATTTAGGGTTTCATTTTAATTTCAGAATAGGTTCGAAGATCCTGGACTGTAGCTGTGCAGCAAGTCTGCTAGTCATAGTCAAATTTGAAGGGGTCATTTTCTGCATGGTGAACAAACAGTTTCCAGGATAATTATTAGTACAGATGAATCATTAGTGGAACAATAGTCACCATTTACTTGCAGAATAGTGGCAACAATTATTATTTTAAGATGAATGTTTTGGTCAGCTTTGTCATCCTGTCCTTTTGTGACTCAGCATCTCTTTTTCACTTGGGTTCGGAGCCCCACCGGAAGAGTTATGTTCCTGTATCTGAAGCCATCCAGAAACTGCAGGAAGTGTTTGCTTTTGGTGAGCTGCCACACAACATTACATCAGCTAAAAAACCTCCTCATTTTATGCTAGAACTGTATAGTCGAGTGGCTGCACCTGATGGAAGCACCAAAGCACCTGGACTCCTGAAAGGCAATGTGGTAAGAAGCTTTGAAAACAAAGGTGAGGATCGTACTGTATATAGAAATAATGATATATATGTGTTAAATGTTACAGTTTCCAGTTTGTGCTAATGTATTAATGTACAAGTTCAGTTTTAAATCTTCTATCTTAAATTTTAGACAGCAACTAAATGTATGCATGCATCGGTTGTATGCATAAGTAGATGTATCCTAAGACTTGCATGTTTCAAAACAGTTATTCTGATTTAGCATACATGTGGCAATGCATTTTTACATGTCTGTATTGTGTGGGCAATGACACCCTTATGCGTGTCACTTTTGTTAGGATCTTGTTGAAATAACACCAGCCACAGAAAGCCTAAAAAAGGAACAATGCAGAAAATGATTACAATAGTCTTAAGGTGAACATTACATGTGTGTATGTGAAATACTTTTGTATACCCAGCATGAAGTTATATTAATTCACTAGAGCTGAACACACATTCCTGAGGTCAAACAGCATATGGCATCCCCTCACATAAGGAGAATTTTAAAACTGAAACCAAATTATTTTTACAATGTTTTACTACTATTTTATTTTGGTCTTTCTTCTCCCAATCACATTACATGCTCAAAATGTGCAATTGTTGCATGTTGAAGTAAAAATTGTTATCTTATTATTCATTTTATTATACCTTTGTGATCATTCTACTTACAAGACCAATCACTATACTTATAACAGTTTTTCATGTTCATGATTTTTCATATGGTCATACTACACAATATGCATGTGCAAATGTGCATGCTCTGGAGACTTTCTACATTTGCTTTTTATTTGATTCACATGTAAAAGATATTGCTGGTGTGATGGGTGAAAATTGGCCATGTGAGTACATTTATATGTTGGAGATAGCCTTTCTCCCCTGAAATAAGTGGACCAGGCACCAGATATTTAATCAGTGAACCTGTTCTAGATTTTATCCTGCATCCAGTAAAGCGTGCCATATACTTTGAAATAACTTCGATTTTTAAAATAACTTTCTATTAGTTGATGGGGTCAAATCCAACACAAGGGGCGAAGGGGGTTCTTCTCAGTTCGAGCGGTTAGGGTCTGGAACTCAGCAGTGATTTCAGCACATAGTGTGGAATCATTCAAGAAGCATTTGGACAATTTCCTGAGAGACTGTAAAGTACAGCGGTACAGGTACTCTTAAGAATGGGATGACTCAGGGACGTATACACACACACACACACACACACACAATAGGTTGTACTTGATGGACTTATGTCTTTATTCAACCTCAAATACTATGTAACTATGATTTTGACCGTAGTGACAAAAAAAATCGAAGGAGCAGAATGTAAAATGTTTCTTGCATGAAACTCCATTCATTCTAAAATTGAATGCTAACCACTTGATGACTGGGGTGTTAAACCCTCTTCCTATCCAGGCTATTTTTCAGTATTCAGAGTTGCAAAACTTTTCATGCAGCGCTGTACTGAAATGAACTTTATTTATTTTTTTGGGACAGATAGAGCTGTCTTTTGGTAGTATTTAATCACCACTGGGGTTTTTATTTCTTACTATATTAAGAGACAATTACCAAACATTTTGAAAAAAAACTGTTTTCCCTACATTATGTTATGAAACATTAATTACTAACCAATTAGTAAACAAACATGTAAAGCCTCGTGCAACCCGCAAAACTGCAAAAAACTACACTACCCACAATTGGCCATAGGTGATGATTTAAAAGCTTTTACCACTCATCAGTTTAGTGTTATCAGTGATTGATGGCCCGAGAATTATTGCTCGAACTCAGACATTAGCGGTTAGATGTAACATTGTGGCGCAATCATCGTTTTTCCGTGTAGGCATACCCGACGTGTATTTACATTTGTATATGGGCGGGGAATTACAATTTTTGGGGGGTTTTAATGTAAAAAAAATATTTTTATTTTTTTTTTATACCTAATGTTGTTGCTATCACATAGGGGGCTAACAACTCCCTATGTGATAGCACAGGCAAACTTACATGTCCTCTTTAAGACACCCTAATGTCACTTGGAGATCCTCAAAGAAGCTGATGAAGCAGAGATCTGCTTCATCAGCTTCTCCTCTGGCTATAGCAACCAGGGAAATGACAGCTGAACACGGAAGTGATGTAATACACACCACTTCTGCATTCAGAGTTGGGAGAGGAGCTCAGCAGGTGGGAGAGTGCTGACCTCTCTCTGATCTTACTGCAGATAGCCGCCACAGAGGAGACAGTAGAGCCCGGCATAGCTGGTAACAGCGGTGGAGGGGGGGGATGCACACTGCTGGGCACATACCATCAATCGGACGGCTATAGAGCCGCCCAATCATTTGTATGGAACAGCCATTACCGGCTGTTTACACTTGTCAGTGTGTGCTACTCATGAGTGCGCTAGAGGGCACGCGCGAGCAGAATTACTTTTTTATATTTACGGTGCCCTGTTGTAGGGAGCTTGTCATCTGTCTGTTTATTTTCTACGGGTGGATGGCAAGCGGTTAAAATAAAACTAAATTTTGTTCGACATTCGTCAAGTGTCGTATGTCTTATGGCATTATCGTGTATTAAAGAAAGATCTTTTGTTGGAAAATAAAGATCTTTCATTCAGAAATCTACTAGTGTATGGACAGCTTAAGACTGCTCTTTCTGGCAACTGAAGCAGCCTCATTTCACATTGAAATGGCAGATAGGTGGGCTTTGCCCATAAAACAATTTCTGTTTTGAAGTTTTGAATAGAATGGTGAGGGCGAAACACCTCTGTCAGGTTTATATTGCGATTTGTGTTCCCATTAGGAAGACCTGCCCCCTTCATTTTTCCTGGTAACCACTGTCACCAGGAGTAAAATTAGAGGGAAAATCCTGAACATTTGTTCTGGTGACAGCTGTCTAAGAGGGGATTTCCTTCAATTTGGAGAGATGTCCTCTCTCTTCCTGTGTTGTCTAAAGGAAATTAAGGCAAATGTCCCAAATCGGACACTGATGGCAAAAATATTCATCAATATTCAAATTTCATTCATTACTCTATCAACTCTTTAAAAAATAAATATTTTGGGCTAGATATACTTTAAGTCAGGGACCAGTTGCAAAGTGAAGCTAAATCAGAGGAGGGCACAAAATAGGCTTTTCTGGGTAATAAAAGAAAGCTGTAGGCATTTTATTGTGTCTGTACTTAGACAGCACCTTTATTTTTAAAAATTTATTATAGGATATAGGTCCCTTTTTAAATAAATACAAAAGGAGCTTAAATGTTATTTTTTTCATTTCTCGATATACTACCTCATAATACAGGATTATTTAACTATTTAAAGGACCAGTTTAGGAATAAATACAAAAGCGCCCC